CTGGACGATGTTCTGTGGCTGCAGTAACGACCTCACATCAGCACGCACAGATATTTGTTCTTCTTTTCTTATTTGATTAAATAAAAGTTAAATGTAACAAATGTTGAGGAATGATGATAGAAAGTGAAAGACAGCAGTTTGTGATTTGATATGATTGTGGGTAAACTAGATAGATATTAAAAACCTGCTCCCTTTAATAACCTGATCTCTCAAACAGGTTTCACTCTGAAGAATGGAAGGTCTCTACATTAACAGCAGCTCACAAAACCAAAGCTTTAACCACAGCAACATCACCTATGGCTACAATGGTTACATCAACAGCGACTATGAGTATTACATGACAGTTTTTTTCATCATGAATGTGGTGACATACATATTCATTGCCACCGGCCTCCTGTTGACCCTGGTGGCCATCTATTCTCTTTATTGTATGGTATGTAAATTCTGACAGAGTTATTTATTTCCTGTCTGTGTGGTGTGTCTGTCCTACAGTCTGTCTGTCTGTAAAGGATCTGGTTTGGGGGCAAATATTATTAGTATTATTATTATAATAACATTAAAATGTTAAAATGGTGCACTGGATATTTTCTCTTTTTCGGACCTTTCTCTGTAAACCCTAGAGATGGTTGAGTGTGAAAATCCCAGTAGATCAGCAGATTCTAAAATACTCAGACCCGTCTGGCACCAACAACCATGCTATGTTCAAAGTTCCTGATATCTCCTTTCTTCCCCATTCTGATGCTCAGTTTGAGCTTCAGCAGGTTGTCTTGACCACGTCTACAAGCCTAAATACACTGAGCTGCTGCCATGTGTGCAGGTGTACCTAATAAAGTGGCCTGTGTGTGTATACTGTACATACTGTATGCAACAGTAACAGCCCACACATCAAAACCAGACTTCATCATGCAGAAAAAATACACTAATGATGTGTTTATATGGGAATCCAAGATGGCGGCATGTATGGTCTGATGTGTGTTTGTCCCCTCTATCTATACTCATTTATATTCATTTTGTTTGCTTTTATACTCATATATGGAGTAAAAAATTTTAGCAGATTCTATGATTGAGCTCCTTGGTTTTTTAGATGAAATAGTTTTTTATTGGATTATGGACTACTTTGCTGCAGAAAAGCTTCCATCTCCAGGCTCTACTTTGATCCTGAGGCCCTGTTAGCATCTCCAGGCTCTGCTTGGATATTGAGGACCTCCTAGCCTCTCCAGGACCTAGCAGCCCGGCTTCCATCTTCAGGCTCTACTTGGATCTTGAGGCCCTGATAGCCACTCTAGGCCTTAGCAGCCCAGCTACCATCTCTAGGCTCCAGGCCCTAGCAGCCTAGCTCTAACCCTGCTACCACCTCTATGCTTCAGGCCCTAGCAGCCCAGCTATTGTCTCTAGGCGCTGTTTGGATCCTGTGGCCCTGCTAGCCCTTTCAGGCTTCACTTGGATCTGAGGTTCTGCTAGCTTCTCTAGGCCCTAGCAGCCTAGCTAACATCTCCAGGCTCTGCGTGGATCCTGAGGCCCTGTCAGCTCCTTCGGGTTTTGCTAACATCTTCTGCTAACATGGCTCTTCTTTTAATGCTGCTTTGTTTATTGTTTGTGCAAAATCTAAGATCAAGTGATTTATACTGGGTGAGTACATCTTACAACATTTGTGGCTCTTTGGACATAGCCTATGGATTCAACTGCTCAGCCTTTGTGCATTCCCCTCAAATGCCAAAAGATTTGGCAGAGGACTTAAATTTAGCCTGGTCTCTACCCAGAGATATTCTTCAGCTTCAAAATCTTTTGATTTTAAATGACTATTTTGCATTTGATGACAGACATTACTGGGACTCTCATTTTAAAAGCTCTACAGATTTTTCATATACTGATGGTAAACAGAGATGGTTAATATTTCTATTGCTGCTTTTATCTGGCAATGTGCAGCCAAATCCAGGCCCTGAGTTACAGTGTATTCCATTGCCATCTGATGTGAAATCCATGTCTGGTTTGAGTGTAATTCACCTTAATGTTCGCAGTTTGTTACCCAAAATGGATCTGCTTAGAATTTGGGTGAATTGAACAGATGCTGATATTGTTGTGTTATCTGAAACCTGGCTGACAAAATCAATCACTGATATGGACATTGGAATGGGTGATTATAATGTGTTTCGTGCTGACAGATTAAGGAAGGGTGGTGGGGTTGCTATTTATGTCAAATCTAAATTTAATGTGAAGCTAGTCCATTCAGAATCTATCGGTAAGCAGCTGGAAGTTTTGGCAGTGAAGGTGGAGTGGCCAAGGGCCTTTATGTTACTGTTGTTGGGTGTTATAGGCCTCCTTCTGCCTTGAGTACTGCATTGCAGACTCTTATTCAACTCTTATCCAGATTGGACTACTCTGAAATTATTTTAGCAGGTGATCTAAACTGGGACTGGCTGAAACCTTGTTCAGATGAATTTAAGTCATTTTGTGATTCTGTCATTTTTACACAGTTAATCAATTCTCCCACTCGTTTAAATCCTAAGTGCCATGAGAAATCCACCTTAATTGATTTAATTTTGACTAATGTCCCACACAAATTTTCTGCTGTTGGTGTTTTTTGCAATGACCTAAGTGACCACTGCGTTGTTGCTGCTGTAAGGAATACTAAGATGCCTAAATGTAAACCTCGCGTAGTATGTAAGAGGAATCTCAAAAGATTCAATGAACAGGGCTTTTGCCATGATTTGTTTAATTGTGATTGGAGTAGAATAGAGCTGATTCCCGATGTGGAGTCAGCCTGGATCTTTTTCCGGGATAGTTTTTTGCAAGTAATAAATAGACACGCCCCACTAAAGAGATTCAGAGTTAAGGGGCGGAATAATCCCTGGTTTTCCTCTGAGCTTGGCGATATTCTTCATGACCGCAATTTAGCGTGGGCCAAAGCAAAAAAAACGGGCTCTTCGTCTGATTGGCTTGTTTTTAGGCAGCTAAGAAATAAATGTTCTTCTTTTATTAAGAAAGCAAAATCTGATTCTTATCTGTCAGCCACTACTAACACCTTAAATGATCCCAGAAAATTCTGGAAGGCTATAAAATTACTTTCTTCAAACAAAGATAGTATTAATGTTCCTTCCTCTATTATGAAGGAGTCTGTAGTAGTTCATGACAAGCTGGAGATATTGAACCATTTTAATGAGCATTTTATTCAGTCTGGTTCTTTGTTTGACACTGCTTGTCCTTATACTGTGACACCTTGTAGAGATGTACCAGTCTCTACAAGTGTCTTCAATCTCACTCCATTCTTAGTGGCCGATGTTCAAAAAGCCCTAAAAGGACTGGTTCCTGAAAAACCCCCAGGACCTGATCTTATAGAGCCCTATTTCTTAAAAATAGCTGCTGATTGTGTAGCACAGCCTCTAACGTACCTTTTTAACCTTACTTTAGAGAGCAACACTATTCCCAAAATATGGAAATCTGCATTTGTTTGTCCATTATTGAAAGGGGGTGACCCGTGAAACTTAAATAATTACAGGCCAATTTCTAATTTGTCTGTTTTGGCCAAAACGCTTGAATCCCTGGTGAGTGATCAGATGAAAGACTTCTTGCATGTACAGGACATTTTATCCCCAGTTCAATCAGGTTTTAGAAAAAAACATCACAGCTGACATCTCTGTTGCTCGTGACAAGAAGCAGCACTGTGCATCACTTTTTATTGATTTGTCAAAAGCTTTTGACACGGTTGATCATGATGTCTTAAAGATTAGGCTTCTTAATTCAGGGTTTTCACAGAAAACTGTCTCTTGGTTCTCAAACTATCTTAGTGACAGAACTCAGTGCATTAAGCATGATGGTGTTCAATCTGGTATTTTACCAATCCTTAAAGGGGTTGCACAAGGCTCTGTATTAGGCCATCTTTTATTTACTATTTATATAAATAATCTTAATCGGCATGTGTCTGATGCAAATTTTCATTTTTATGCAGATGACACAGTTATTTATTGCTGTGCACCCTCTCTTAAACAAGCCATTGCACATTTACAGAATGCCTTCAATATGGTCCAAAACACTTTGCTACAGTTGAAACTTGTGCTCAATGCAGACAAAACCAAATGTATGCTTTTCACAGGCCCTCGGAATAGACCACTGAATATTCCCTCAGTGATTACTCTTGATGGACGTGAAATACAGACTGTTACAACTTATAAGTATCTTGGTATTGTTATTGATGATTGCCTATCATTTAAGCCTCATGTTCACTGTCTAGTGAGAAGGTTGAGGCTAAAATTGTGTTTTTACTTTCAAAATAAGTTGTGTTTTTCTTTTAATGTTAAAAAACGGTTAGTGGCATCCACTTTTTTATCTGTGTTGGATTCTGGTGATATATATGCATTCATGTGCTCAATGCCTTCACATGATTGACGCAGCCTATCATGCATCGCTGAGATTTATTACTAATTGTAAAGCTCGCACCCACCACTGCGAGCTGTATTCTCGTGTAGGGTGGTCTGCTCTGACAACACGGAGGCTTTGTCATTGGTATACATTTATATATAAGGCTATTCTTGGTGTGCTACCATCCTATTTATGTTCACTTCTTATGAAAAAAAGTGTTGGTCATTACCCTCTCCGTTCTCAAGCTGTTGTCTTGTTTTCTGTCCCACATGTCAGTACTGTGCTGGGTAAAAAGGCCTTTGTTTATTCTGCTCCCTTTACATGGAATTTGCTGCAGAACAACTTAAAACTTAGTAAATTGATGTGAAGTGTTTTTAAGTTGAGAATGACATGCTTTGAGTTGGACTCCCTCACATGTCAATGTTTTCATTGAGATTTCATTGTAAGTGCATAATTGGCTTTCATTTGTGTGTCTTTGTACGTATGTAATGATGTTATGTAATTTTGCTGCCTATCTTGGCCAGGTCTCCCTTGCAAAAGAGATTTTTAATCTCAATGGGTTTTTTCCTGGTTAAATAAAGGATAAATAAAAATAAATAAAATGAAATGCTTGCTCATTTAAAAAAATTCATCTAAAAGAACCTCAAGAATTCAAATAATCTAAAATAATATCTGCTTTGCTTCTGGGATTAAAGGAGAATAATGACAGACATCAACTTCCAGCTCCAAACTAATAAAACACATTTTATTTCCATGTGTTGAAGCCATCACAGTGAACCAGAGCAAGTTGACCAAAACATTTCCCAGCAGCCACTTCTCCCACAGCAGAGTCCAAAAATAAGCAGCAACAGAACCAAAACTCCCACACTTCGACGTTTTTCATCAGGGGGAACTGAGGTAGAAGCAGACAGGGCTTTGAGGGTCCCAACCAGGAAGAAGATTAACAGTGGGAAGGGAAGGAGGAGGAGCATGATGAACATTATGTGTGTCACCAGATTTTCAACAAAGAAATAGAAACGGACGGCACAGAAAGGAGAAAGGACCCAGACCAGGACACAGACCACCACAGAGGTCTTGATGGATCGTCCAAAGCGGTACCACAGTGGGTGGGCGATGACCAAATACCTGTAATACAAGATGGACACAAAGTCTTTGAGGAGCTTCAGAGTTATAAACTAATATAATGTTCAGACACAGAAGGAGCTCCACACATACTGGATAGACAGATAGATACCTTTCCAGGGCGATGCAGACCATGAAGTAAACACTGGCAATCAGAGCAGAGAGGTAAATATATACGAAGATCTCATGTGTCCACCTATCCACAGTTGGTACCACATCAGCAATCATGCAGCAGAGCTGAATGAGGTCGGTAATGAGAAGGTTGATGACGTAGATGGGAGCAACATGATCTCTTCTCACCTGCAGGAAAACATTGGTAAAAGTCAACAAGCAGTTGGAAACATGTTGTGAAGTCCACCTCCTCCCAAATCTGTCATCTTGCTCTACCCAGCAGCTGCAGTCAGAGCCATTTCTGACTTTTTCATCCAACAGAAATCTCAGATATGACCCACTGGCCAATCACTGCAGGAACAAGACTAAGGGCCAGATTTCCTGCAGCTTCTGCAGCAGTTTTTCAGCCACAGATATGAAGCATTCTGGCTCAAACACATGAGCTGGATTTATCCAGACTGGAGTCGCAGTTTGAGGCTCATGTTTGTGTTTGCAAGGTGAGAATCTCTCCTCATTGTAAACGTATTATATTGAGGATCGCACAAATAAGAAGAGGAGCCATGTTAACAGAAGGTGGGAGTGAGCTGGGAAAGTTTCCTGAACAGATGATCAGAATTAGTTCAATCAACTCAGGTATGTTGAACCTGATGGAAGCGCCTGCGTGGGGATGAAAAAAAATCATCTATTGAGCTCTGATACTACGTGGGTAAATAACGAGCAGAGCCTCCATTTTAATCCAGTGGTGCTGTAGAAACATGAATGGGTGCCAACGTGGACCATGACAAAGTCTTTAAAAACAGGAGTGGAGGAAGGATCAATACGTTGTGTCACATTTTATACAGCGTTGCTCATTCATCATTTAGCAGACTGGAATTTCATTAATAAATGATAAAGTGCTGAAATTCTCCTGTAGCCTATTAGGCTACTTCAGACTCTCAGCAGCTAATAATGAAAAACTCACTCATAAAGTACATGAATAGTTTCAGCTGAAATAGTCACATTATCTCCAGCATGATAACTAGATAGGAATGCAATCCATCAAATAGTTTTCAAAAAACAAAATACAAAATTAATGCCTCCAGATTTCACAATTTCCTCTCAAATACTGCTGCACAAACTGCTCTGACTGTTTGATGTTTGTCTTGAGCTGTAACTAAATGGTGCCATTAACCTCAACAGTTTAAGAGAAGGCTGGATGGAGCCACACATGGAAACTGCATCTGTTTAGGGTCCAATCAGCTTCATGGACATTTTAATTATGGAGTCAATTATTCCTGTAAGTTTATAGATCATTGCAAGCCTTTGTCCCTGACACCTAGCCCCCGAACCAGATCCAGATCCTTTACAGACAGACAGACTGTAGGACAGACACACGACACAGACAGGAAATAAATTACTCTCAGTCAGAATGTACATACCATAGAATAAAGAGAATAGATGGCCAGAAGCATCAGAGGAAGGCCGACAGCAATGATTACGTATGTCACCACATTCGGGATGAAATCAGGGTTGTTGTTATAGCCTTTGAGCTCAGAGGGGATGTTGCTGTAGTCATAGTCGTAGCTTTGGTCCAGTGAGCTGCTGGTAACGTAGAGACCTTCCATTCTTCAGAGTGAAACCTGTTTGAGAGATCAGGTTATTAAAGGGAGCAGGTTTTTAATATCTACCTAACATTGTTCAGTGACATCACTAAAGCTGTGAGGTGAAGTTCACACAAACACAGTGTCCCTATAGTTTACCCACAATCATATCAAATCACAAACTGCTGTCTTTCAGTTTTATATTCCTGCACATCCATCTTCATGACTGTTTAAAGTTCTTATCATCTCTACATATAAAAGTAATGTCACAAACTTTACCTTTGAAAGCTCTGAGACCCCAATTGAAAGAGTTCCCTACTGCAAAGTCTGATGTGTTGTCCTCTGCAGCTAAACAGTCTACAGTAAATATAGTAAGTGATCACATGCAGTAGGTTCCTGTTAATCTGCACTTCCTCTTCTGAAGACATGAGAAAGGCACAAATATGCTTTATCCTGTTCTGTGGTCCTGAGATGACTGCCTGTTGTCACCTCAGCTGAAAGTTTAGATGAGCTGCTTTGAGTATCAAACTCTTCCTGTAGGCTTGAAATGAAAGATGGACTCTGCTTGTCTTCAAAACCATTGAATTGAATGGTTTCCAAAGTGAACTGCTTTCCCAGCACGGCAGCAAAATCCACTCTCTGTTAGTCGTGCTTAGTGTGTTTCAAAATCTGTGAATCACATTCTTCTAAAAAAGCTGGTACTATTTTTTACATGCCAACATCATATTTAGGGAATGAGAGAAGAACAAATTAAACTCAGTGTAATTGGTCTGACCCAGTATGTACTGTACAGCTACCATCCAAGTTCTCTGATTGTTTTAATGATAGTGTTGGACCTCTTGCCTTATGATTCAAATTTCAGTTCAATTCTATTTATATAGCCCCACTTCAAAACAAAAGTTGTCTGATTAAATTTTTCATGTGGAGCGGGTCTAGGCCGTCCTCTCTGTAATATTATTAACACTTCCCACCATGAGCAAACACCTGCTGACAGATGAACTAGCACATGAGGAAGAAAGTGATATTGATTCTGTTCATAAATATTCTGTTTCTGATAACGCTTTACTAATTAATGATACTAAATGAGCCACGCTTAAAGGCAAAGAAACCTCGAGCTGAACTGTGACTCAGGATCAACGGCCATCTGCCTCAACATGTTACAGACAAATACAGTCTGACTTTCTGGGTTTCTCATTTGTTCCCCTTTAATGTTTCTCTACAGTGAATATAGTAAGTAAAAAGATGCAGCATGTTCCTGTTAATCTGCACTTCCTCTTCTGAAGATATGAGAAAGGCACAAATATGCCTTATTCTGTTCTGTGGTCCTGAGATGGCTGCCTGTCGTCACCGCAGCTGTAAGTTTAGATGAGCTGCTTTGAGTCTCAAACTCTTCCTGTAGGCTTGAAATGAAAGATGGACTCTGCTTGTCTTAAAATAATGACATGGTTTCCAACGTGAACTGCTTTACCAGCACGGCAGCAAAATCCACTCTCTGTTACACTTGTGTGTTTCAAAATCTGTGAATCACAGTTTTCTAAAAAGCTCCACAGCTGATCCCAATCACCTCCTCCACTCAGACGCTCCTGTTCTCCTGCCATTCGTCACCTGATGGTTTCGTTTACTCTCTCTGCCCAGAAAACTGGTTTGTCTTTTGTATTCTCCAGTACTCTCTCACTGTATCGCTCACGTGCCTTTTTTGTCTCCTCGGCTCCTGTTCCATATTCTGCACCCCAGACTCCTCAGACCACCTCAGACCACTACTCCTCTTCAGTCAGCGAGCCAGCCTCCCACCATCGTCAGCCACGCTCCCCTTTCCTCTCCAGCCTCGTTGTGTTGCTCATTAAAATACTTTGTTCTCAATAAACTTCAGAGTGTGTGTCTGCTCCTGGGTCCTCTGAAACACAAACTTAACCGTCTGCCCATCTACACCGCTACACAGGTACGTTGTGTTTGCTAACAGGCTGGACTCAAACGCAGGACTTGTTGTACCGTAAGTCTTTGCTGCAAACCAGGTGATAATGGGAGAATGAATGTGGTGGCAGGGGAATCCAGAGGAGGCGGAGAGAGATGAGGTGATGGATCTATGTGGCTCAAGGAGCAAGCGAGCCTGGCAGGAAGCATACAGGAGGCAGACGGGCATGTGATGATCCTGCAGCACCAGAGACAGATGTTAGCAGAAAGGTAAAGCACAGACAAGGCACAACAAGCAAAATCCACCAGAGAGCAAACTGCTGACTGAGAGAATCACTAAGGCTGAAAACACATCTGGTGAAGAGTGGATAGAAAACTGCAGTTGATGTACTGCAGGTGAGCAAACTAATGAGAGGCAGGTGAGTGAGGTGAGCAGGACGATTGGTGGATTGTGAACAGGTGTGTGGAGCCAGCAGCCAGGAGACGTGGAGGAAGGAAAGTCACGCCGACAGACACACAGATAACAAACAGGGGAGACAAACTCTGAACGTGGACAGACTCGACCCAGCATCAAAGTTTATTCATCTAAAGGAGGAAGGCAATAAATCTGCTGAACATTATGTGCAAGAATGTGAATCTCTCCTCTGTAGCCAAACAGTACATGCAGATGTTCTGTGGGGGTTGGTGAGATGCAGGACTTCCTGGTGACAGAGTGCAAAATGAATGTAGTGAATGAAAGAACAATATGGCGCCCTCTTGAGTCACGTAGGTCTGAAGAGACACGTCGCACGTAAGGCAGGACCCTGCTTGACCTCATGTTTGCAGACTGATGAAACTTTTTTCCATTGCTGTAAATGAAAATGTTTCTGTTCAGCCGAGCTTCAGGACTCGTCCTAAGTGAGCTTTAAATACCTTTTTTGTGCATGTAATAGGTTTGCAAAGTGAAAAAGCCCGAAGTCCGACACGCCCTCAAAAACAGCGGTGGAAAAACAGCGAGCTGCAGCACACAGCTCTCCTCTCCCTTCCAAACACTAGCTACCCTCCAGGCAGTCAGTGGACATAAAGTTGTTCCTGTGATGTAGAGACAGAGCTCAGTTAAAACTTTATGGATGAAAGATCCTTTTGTTACAGATTAATAACTCACCACTCTGAAACTCTCGCTCCAGTCCATGTTGCCAAGCTGGTCTGCAACATGTACAGCTGAACTAAAGCTGTTTACTGGGTTCTCATTGACCCGCCCTTCTCTGCTTCTGATTGGCTAGTAGTCCTTAACTAGGAACTGAGCATGTGCAACTCCCAACAAAGATGTCTATGAAGATTCTCAGTCATCCAGGTCATAGTTTCATTTCATTTCATTTATTTATTTAAGGACAGTGCACATTAATCAACATTTCTGTAAAATGTGCCAGTGTTAGCCAGCAGGCTAATTTCCAACTGTAGTCCATAGTTATCCAACGAAGATTAAAATCAAGGGCAAGTGGATTTGGTTGAAGATACTGGAAGACGTTTCGTCCCTCATCCAAAGGACTTCTTCAGTTCTGACTGACTGGCAGGGAAACTCAGCTATTTAACCTCAGTGGGGTCGTTGGCCCGGGTCATCGATACCGCTGGTTCGTTAGTGGTATCTTCACCTGAGGTCAATAGGTTACGTTTGTTGTCCTTTCATCACTTCCCAGGAAACTCAACAAACGTAACCTATTGACCTCAGGTGAAGATACCAACGATGGTCGTTCAGTCTTGGCCACAGGTAGTCTTAACGACTGTAATGACTGTCGTCACAGCAACAAGGAACACTAATATGATACAAACATATGTAGTTTGTCAGCAGCCACTAGCGGTGAGGTTTTAAGACCAACAAGACGTGTGCTCGTACGCGTGCTCACTTGAACTCATGAGCGAGCATAATCCGTAACACATCCGTTTTCATGCAGAGATCGTGCAATAAACGCGAAAACACCTGCATACGGCTTATACAGATTCCTGGAAATCAAGGACAGGTTTGTATCAGATCATAAACTCATTACTTTAACTATCAACTAAAGATTGCTAGTATTGGTCAGTATTTGATAGTAATGAGCTGGTCAGCTAAATTCCAACAAAACAGAAATCCTGGTTATCCTCATTTTGCAAACCAATTACACATATCTACTGGTCACATTTCACAATAAATGGAACCTGTTGCAAGAAATCTTGTTGTCTTGATATCAGTTTATGGCTGCTTCTTAAGTCTCTTAATTGAGAGAAGACAGCACACCAGTTACAATTTAAATAGAAATACAGCATAGTCTAAACAAACAAACAAGCATCACACACATAGGAAAGGGACTAAACCAGGTCACGTGTTGTTACATTTCTTAGTTACATGGCATTTAACATGGCTTTGTGCACTGTGTTGGTACTAATAAAGTCTCACAGATATCAGAGCAGAGCAGCATGATCCTCTCTGTAACTGTTACCGGTTTAACACCTACACATGAATAATTATAGGTTTCTGTATGTCCTGCTCAGAGGCACTGGATCATTTCTACAGGCAAAATGCTTGTAAAATCTGCATTTATATTTATTGATTCTAATTGTGAATTCCTTATTGAATAACCCAGAATAGGATCATGGTCTCTTTGGATTTATTAGGCTACAGGTGAGATGCAGCAGGTGAGATGCAGCAGGTGAGATGCAGCAGGTGAGATGGAATAGGTGAGATGGAGAAGGTGAGATGCAGCAGGTGAGATGCAGTAGGTGAGATGGAGAAGGTGAGATGCAGCAGGTGAGATGCAGTAGGTGAGATGCAGCAGGTGAGATGCAGTAGATGCAGCAGGTGAGATACAGCAGGTGAAATGCAGGTGAGATGCAGTAAGTGAGATGCAGCAGGTGAGATGCAGCAGGTGAGATGCAGCAGGTGAGATGCAGCAGGTGAGATGCAGTAGGTGAGATGCAGCAGGTGAGATGGAATAAGTGAGATGCAGCAGGTGAGATGCAGCAGGTGAGATGGAATAGGTGAGATGGAGAAGGTGAGATGCAGTAGGTGAGATCCAGTAGGTGAGATTCAGCAGGTGAGAAGCAGTAGGTGAGATGCAGTGGGTGAGATGCAGCAGGTGAGAAGCAGCAGGTCAGATGGACTAGGTGAGATGCAGCAGGTGAGATGCAGTAGGTGAGATGCAGCAGGTGAGATGCAGCAGGTGAGATGCAGTAGGTGAGATGCAGCAGGTGAGAAGCATCAGGTCAGATGCAGCAGGTGAGATGCAGCAGGTGAGATGCAGTAGGTGAGATGCAGTAGGTGAGTAGCAGCAGGTGAGATGCAGAAGGTGAGATGCAGTAGGTGAGATGCAGCAGGTGAGATGCAGAAGGTGAGATGGAGTAGGTGAGAGGCAGCAGGTGAGATGGAGAAGGTGAGATGCAGTAGGTGAGATACAGTAGGTGAGATGCAGAAGGTGAGATGGAGTAGGTGAGATGCAGAAGGTGAGATGCAGCAGGTGAGATGCAGCAGGTGAGATGGAGTAGGTGAGATGCAGAAGGTGAGATGCAGCAGGTGAGATGCAGTAGGTGAGATGCAGCAGGTGAGATGCAGCAGGTGAGATGGAGTAGGTCAGATGCAGAAGGTGAGATGCA